CCTCTCAAGGCTGCGCCCAAGCTCGTTGCGCCCGAGCCAGGTACATTTGCCCCGCCACCCCTCCGGCATTATACTGCGACTCTGTGATAACAGACTGCTAACACCATCGCGACAGAACACTGCCCCGGTCCCGAATCTCTCACAGCCGGTCAAGCGGACTCCTGCGCAGGATGTCCCAACCAGTCAATATGCGCCTCCGCGCCCAAGGGCCCCGATCCCGACATACCCATCATTACCGCGCGCCTCTCCTCCGTAAAGCACAAGATACTCGTCCTCTCCGGTAAAGGAGGCGTCGGAAAGTCGACCTTCAGCACAATGCTTTCGCATGGCTTCGCATCGAATCCATCATCGACTGTCGGACTCATGGACACAGACATCTGCGGGCCTAGCATACCGAAGATGATGGGTGTAGAAGAAGAAACAATCCACGTTAGCGGAGAAGGATGGGAACCAGTGTGGGTCAGTGAGAACCTAGGAGTCATGAGCGTCCAGTTCATGTTGCCAAACCGCGACGACGCAGTCATCTGGCGGGGCGCAAAGAAGAACGGGCTGATCAAGAAATTCCTTATGGACGTAACATGGGGCGAACTAGACTTCCTTGTCGTCGACACACCACCGGGTACATCCGACGAGCATCTCTCCGTCAACTCCTTCCTCAAAGCCAGCGGCGTCGACGGCGCAGTCCTCGTTTCAACACCCCAAGAAGTCTCGCTTCTCGATGTTCGGAAGGAGATCGACTTTTGCCGGAAAGCGGGTATACCTATACTGGGCATCGTGGAGAACATGAGCGGGTTCGTATGCCCGGGTTGCAAGCACGAGTCTCAGATCTTCAGAGCGAGTACTGGTGGTGCAGCGAGGTTAGCGAAGGATCAAAACATACCATTTTTGGGCAAGGTACCGCTGGATCCAAGGATAGGCATGGCTTGCGACTTTGGAGAGAGCTTCCTGACGGCCTACCCAGATAGTCCGGCGTGCGCTGCTATCAAAGAGGTTGTTAGGAGAGTTGGAGAGGAGATTGGAATGAGCAGAGAAGAAGTATTGCCTGTGGATGATGAATAAGCGTGACCTGCAAGAGCACAGTCGGTATACTACAATATAATTTTGGATGGAGCGAAATCAGACAGCACAAATGGCTTTACGTATCGGCATAATCATATTTCTACAGGAACCTGTTCCTACTGGACACATCGTACGGCATTTGCAATTCGGCCCGCGTCAATAACGTGAGGACTTACGAAGGCGGTTGACGCAAGCAACGCAGATCGTCGAGTTCGTCTTGACACACTAAAACATGGAGATCAGGGAAAGCGAGAGCGATGAACATAACGATAACAAGCATCTGCTCAGGTAATCTCTTCCAATGATTGTTTGCAAGCCCTCCTACACATACAACGCACTGAACGCACTGCTGAGTAGAACTAATTGTTTCGTTTAATAATGACTGCAACCCAGTGTCACGAAGTATGCGAAGCCACTTCGCTTCTCTTGGAGTCGTCATTCACTGCCACAATGGCGCCGCCCCGTTGGATCTTCGTGTGGCAGATTGTCCAGTGGAAATTATGAGTGGACTGGCAGCCACACCACAGCCATTGATCAGCGTCATCGTATCACGCTACACGATGCTTGGCACGCGTAGCAGGTGCTTGGCGCATGTTTCGAAAGCTTGGTTGGGTGGCCTGTGGCTTGGACGAAGATAATGAGCTCATAGATGTTGCGCGAGTCGATGCAAGATTTGCGAATACGTGCTGAGAAAGAGGAGAAAAATGACTGGGCTGGCCCAGGAGACGGCGTGCAAGACCATGCAGAAGATCGAGATAGGTCCCGTGTCTGCGCGGTCCACAATGCAGCGCGGAAGGCTCGAGGATGTCATGGCCCACACGGCTAGCGGCATCCATCCCTGCCGCCTCGGTGCCATCAATCACAGGCACAACAACTTTCTTGACTTTGAGGCTAGAGGCGCTTTCATTTTGGCCCCAGCCTTTCCTGAATTCTTACTCTCCCCCGCCTCTATCGTTTCCGTACTACACGCGCTTCACAAGGGCGTGCAATTGTTTTCGTCGCGACAGGAACGCGAAATTACTAGCAGCGCGCATCGTATCTGCGCCTGAAGCCAACTCTTGGACCCTGAGCGCATTGCCATTGTACGTCTTTGCTCTGGCTGAATTGAGTCAATAGACTGACTGGAGCGCAGGATCGTAGGCATCTTAGACGCGTCTGCGCATATCCTCCCCCAAACCTCTCGCTATCGAACATTGCTCGCGACCGACGACCACCATGGCCGCTGAATACCAACAACATGAGGATCCCAGTGGCGTGACAGGCATTGGCGCCGGTCCTCAAGTCATCAGCACCTCGGGTGCAGTGGATGTCATCATGGGACCGCTCCTCAATTACCGACGTACAAGCAACCAGCAGGCCGGGCAGCCTGTCTGGCACGGCAGTGTCCTCATCGTCGCTACGCCCGGACAACAGAACCCGAACGAGGCACAGCCAAACCCCCAGCTCACACTCTTCCCAGCTGGCGCAGTCGACAAGAATATGGGTGACGTGAGGTTCAGCGTGGAAGCGCGCGACTTTCACGGAGAGAAGTTATACGAGGATAGCAAGAGGGCCTTCTGGCGCTTCAGGATCGATGCTCCCATGCAGCCATTCGAATCAAGATGGCGTTACGAGATCCAGAACCTCAGATACACCGACACTATGAAGGAGGAGAAGCCCCAGAACTTCGTCGTACCCTCAATCACCCAGTCGATGCGCATTATGTTCCATTCTTGCAACGGTTTCAGTGTTGGTACCGACATGGACGTATGGTCCGGACCTGTGCTGTGGAACGATGTACTCCGAATGCACGAGCAGCGACCCTTCCACGTCATGCTTGGAGGAGGCGACCAGATCTACAATGACGGAGTGCGAGTCGACGGACCGCTCAAGCCCTGGACCGACATACACAGCCCTCATAAGCGACGGGAGTTCCCCTTCGGCCAGCAGATGCGTGCCGACTGCGACGAGTACTACTACAACAACTACGTCAAGTGGTATGGTCACAAGCCCTTCTCCACTGCCAACAGCCAGATCCCCCAGGTCAACATCTGGGACGACCACGACATCATCGATGGTTTCGGCTCCTACACCGACCACTTCATGAACTGCGCTGTCTTCAGAGGCATTGGCGGTGTTGCGCACAAGTACTATCTCCTCTTCCAGCACCACCTTGCTCCTCCAAAGAGTACCTATACAACCGACGCGCCCCAGACGACCAATGTAACAGGCCAGGGAGAAGGCACAACTCCCGCCGATCCGGTGCAAGTGGACAGCACCTTCGTTATGACCAACGATGAGGGCGACCCATCGTACCTTATCGGCTCGAAGCCCGGCCCATATGTCGAGGAACGCAGTCGCAGCATTTACTGCCAGCTCGGTGCGCGCATTGCCTTTGCTGGTATTGATGCGCGAACAGAGCGTACGAGGCATCAAGTCAACTACCCCGAGACCTACAAGATGCTTTTCGATCGTCTGGACGCCGAATTCACCGCGAACCCAGAGCTCAAGCACATGATCTTGCTGCTCGGTGTACCCATTGCCTACCCTCGCTTGATCTGGCTCGAGAACATTCTGCAGTCGCCGTTGATCGCACCCATCAAGTTCCTGAACAAGCGCTTTGGCTTCGCTGGGGGCTTCTTCAACCAGTTCGATGGCAAGGTCGATTTGCTCGATGACTTGGACGACCACTACACCGCGCGTCAGCACAAGGAGGAGCGTCGCAACCTCATCCACAGCCTGCAGGCATTCTCCAAAAAGTTCTCTGCTCGTGTCACCATACTTGGTGGAGATGTGCATCTTGGAGCCATTGGTCGTTTCTACACCAACCCCAAGACACACCAGATTCCCGCAGAAGCTGACCACCGCTACATGCCCAACATCATTAGCTCCGCCATCACCAACAAGCCCCCACCACAAGCTGTCGCGAACTTGCTGGCCCGCCGAAACAAGATCCATCACCTCGACAAGGAGACCGACGAGACGCTCCTCGAAATCTTCGACCGCGACCCAGCTCTCCCCGGAGGCGTCAACGCGACGAACGGCAGCTCCACCGCCCAGATCGAGGGCGACGGCAAAGACGGAAAGATCGAACCCAAGACCTCCGCCGCAAATCACGCAACGATGCCCTCGCGCAACTACGCCATCATCTGCGAATCCGCGATCCCCACCCCCTCCACCCTCGGTGTACCTCCCGGCTCAGCGCCCTCCATCAACACGAACAACACCGCCGCGTCCAAGATCTCCGCTGCCCCCGGCAAGAAAGACAACATGCGTCTGGGTTTCCATCTCGGAGAGGAGAAGGCTGGTACTCAGCACCCGGCTGCTGGCGGTATCAACCCTTCAGGTCTTTGCGGACCGTATGGTCTGGATGTTACACTTAGGGTGGAGATTAGCAACCAAGATCGCGAGGGCAGGACTGATGGCTACGGCTTCAGTATTCCCGCGCTGGATTGCTCGGCTTATGCTGATCGTGGCGAGAAGTGGTAGACTACACCTATGAAGTGGGCGCTTGGGACATGGGATAGAGAAGGTCTCAAGCGGTAGATGAAGGGAGGTTATCGTGGTGGAAGATACTGGATGATTTCATTTTGCTTTCTTGTTTTGGTTTATACCCTCGAAAGTTGCTTGGCACAGAGCAATGATGTGTAGTAATTAATTAGTTGCTAGTCTGTAATGTTACCCCATTATTGGGTTGGTACAACAAAAGTCCTATTGCCTATGGAGACGTCCTATGATGTCGAGGGCATCAGTTTCTGCACTTACAGCCGCACTCGAGCATGTCGGAGTTTCGCGAATCGAATGGTATCTATTGCGCTCGCAAAAAGGTTTGGTTCTTAAACACTGCTGTTTATGTACATGATATGTGAATGATTGGACTTTTGAAGAATGTCAGAAACAAACGGAAGGAAAGCAGTGGCATACAGTCGTAACGGGAGAAAGCAAAGCAAGGAAAGTTGTCGTCACCAGGAAAACGAGTGTTGAAGACCACGTGGCTCCTCTGTGGAGGGCTTGCGGAGCGAAGCAAAAAGCGCCAAAAGTTGAGCAGCTTCCATCCCACCTGTCTCTTGCCAGAATGTGGACGATGAAGCTTGCTGCATAGCAAGCTCGTAGCAAGTATCGAGGAGAGCATTCGTGTTCTCCGGCGAATCCTTAATTCTCACCTTCATCGCAACGGCCATGGCAAGGAAGACATGGAAGCGCGCCATCGACATGGATGCGGAGATTTCGACTGCAGGTCGCTGAGTGTTTGGGTAGACAGACTCGCAGAACCGAGAAAAGAGACCAGGAGAGATGGAGTAAGCTTGGTAGTCCAAGGACTCGATGTGTTGTACGAATTCAGTGGTCAGAGTCTCCGCTTCGAAGCGGCTTGGAATTGGCGTAGTAACAATTGCGCGACTGCGATCGGTGAAGCTTGAGCGTGACGAAGCTGGGCCAGGACTTTCAGTATGGCGGGCTGCGAATATGCCTTGGCGAGGCAATCGCGGTGCTGGCGCCAACGGAAGGATGTCATCTTCAACTTCCGGGATCGGCGACATGGCTTGCTCATTGCTAGCCTGAGACTGGGACGAGGTCGAAGTCTTGCGAGAGTGGGCCCGACTGCTAGTAGTACCCGGTTGTAACTGACTGCTACTTGCTTGAGCCATGAACTCCCAAGAAGGCGCCGTATGCGGTTCGATCGACGACGGCATGGGTTTACTCATCGATGGATATGTCGTACCGAACTGCGGCAGCGCGGATCCGGGTGGCATGGAGTCGGGTGACGAGGCACGCGTGGTACCTAACCATAATGAAGGTACTGGTGAAGACGGCGTGGAGAAGTTGGGGAAAGGCTCACATTCATCTATAGCGATAGAGGGCATGCTGCCACTCCTAGCCGAGAAGGAGCCGAGATCCAGGTCATCGGCTGTGAAGGTTGCCGGTATGGTGGTATCGAGGTTGAGGTGGGGCGAGGGTCCTTGCCAGTCGAACGATGTGGGTGTGCTAGCCATAAGGTTCTGGTCGATAGACTCCATACCGTGCATGGGCGCATTGACATGTCTGGCTAGCTGTGCCTCGAGCTGATGTATTCGTCCCTCTAGGGCTTCTCGATGTTCACTTCATCTTGATCAGAACACGACATCATGTGACCACGCGATGACGCGTCTGAACGGGTGCGGGCACTCACGATGCAACAACTTCTTTTGGTTTTTGTGTTCTCACGCATTGTATTGCAAAACGTTTACACGTCGAGCAAGGCGTCTCGCCGTCGCATCGAATCTTCCTGCGTCGGCATCGCTCGCAGGCGTTGGAGACGGACTTTCGCCTAGGCTGCCAGTCTTTGACAGCACTGGGAGAGAAGCGAGCTGGACCTTCGCCAGCGGGCAATGAAGCTTTTGTCATTAGCAATATCACGGAGCGATATAGGTGCCAAGCTTACTGAAGGGGCACATGCTGGAGGGGAATGTTGAGGATTCCGCGTCGGATACTGAGGCTTCCGAAGATTTGGGTGCAGATGGGGACAATAAGCAGCTGACGATCGCAAGACGGAGGCGTGGGAAAGAAAGCCATGGCGGAGGACGAGATCTCAGTTTGTTTTACGTCCCGTTGCCTGTCGCGGTGACAGACTGAACGCGGTTGAGTAATCGGGTAGACCTGCCCTGATGTTCTGCCGACACACTTTCCTGACACTCTGGCCCTCACCATGACTTGCAACACGCCCGCAAGGCTCCCTGCACGTCTCGACTCCTCATAGGTGCGGACGTGCGACGAGACATGGTTATGCATGTCGCATCGACTTTCCCTCCGCTTTCGACCTTCTAGAAGAGCGTCTACCAGGTGACAGGGCTAAAGGGCGGGCACGCGGCCGCACTCCGCGTTTGCAGCATAAGTGTCGCACAGCCCCCCAGAAGTTCCCACCGGTAAATCCTTCGGACACGTAAAAGAGCGGAATCCGCGGTCCATTTTCCGCTATCTTGTCACATCGCATTGTGAAGCACGGAGAATTATAGAATCTTGTCGACGGCTTCTCCTCAGAGCCATGATGGACCCTCTTGACCACAAAGTCCGGTTGTCAAAATCATCCGCGGCTGCCCAAGCAGCTGACAACTGCCGAGAACTCGAAACAACGTTTTTCTTTCGTCGCATCAAGTCCTTGGCACACGGGAAGCTCACAATCAGATGAGTCGAGGAGCGTCGTCGTAGGCGCCATGCGGCACAGGTGACGCGTACACAGTCAGCGCCTGGAACGTCGCATCAAGGTCACTCCCATTGATGCTATCGCATTCGCATTGCACTATCTACAGGATCGGCGAGGAAAGCTACAGCCCGACTATGCGCGACACAACGGACCGTCCGTCGATTGGACACCAGCGCCGATGATACCATTATCATCGATGGTCCAGCCCTCAGTACCAACCCCGTGGTGCACGTAGAAGAGCATGTCAGGGTCATACTTCTTTTTGATCTGCTGGAGCCTCGGGTAATTTGAGCCCCAGAAAGATTGCTGCCAGTTGGGCTCGGCGATGTCGGCCTCATTTCCATACGCGCCGCCAGTGGGCGACACTTCACGAAGAGGAGCCATGACCTGAGTGGTGATCTTTTCGACGGCGGCCTGCCATCCCGCGGCGGTTTCCTCAGCGACCGAATTGATGATGACCATCTGGCTCTCTTCGTTTCGGAACGCAGGATTGACGGAGTTGATGTCCTTGTTGTCCTGTTCGACGGGGCGCTGATGGTACATGTTGATCATGACGGCGGTCTCGACGACGTGCTGGATGGCGACGATCGTTTGGTTGCGTATCTCAGCGTTCTCCCAATTGTCGGATGTCAACAAACGGTTTGACGCAATACCGGTAGCGGCACCGATATGATAGTTGAATGTACCGAATGTGGCCTTGTAGGCAGGGTAGAAGCTGTCGTGGTAGGTTGTCTTGGGATTGAGCTCAATACCAAGTGAGGCGCACTTTTCGTAAAAGGGCTTGATGAGAGCCTCGTACTCCTCGACAGTCTTGTCCGTGGCAAAGAAAGGACCCATCGACCACATATACGTGCCTGGTGCGAGCTTCATGAGAGAGAAGTAAGAGTATGTTTTCGCGCGGTTGTAGGCGGGCATGTTGTCGAAGAAGAACCTAAACGCCTCCCAGAACTTTTCGGCAGTAACAGTTTCGGATGTCATGATGGTCCAGGAGGACTGAGTGACTGGAACCTTGCGGTGGACCTTCACTACAGCAGAGGTGATCACGCCGTAGGTACCGCCACCGCCGCCAAGCATAGCCCAATACAGATCACTGTTGATCTCCGGAGTAACGGTAACGAACCGGCCACTGGCAAGGACAACTTCGAGAGCGACGATCTGATCTGAGCCGACACCAAACAACTGCATCAGGGGACTATGGCCACCGCCCGTGGAGTAGCCACCAAATACACCGACGGTCGGACAGATACCAGCGATGGCAGAGACACCATACTTATCAGCAGCCTCATAGAGCTCGAAGCCTTGAACGCCCGCGCCGACTTTGAAGACTGGTCCGTTGTACGTGGAGCTTTTGTAGTCTTTGACATACTTGATCTCCTTGAGGCCATGAGTCCAGATGCTGAGCGCCCCCTTGCCAACCGAGCGACCGTTATAGTCATGTCCAGTGTTGCGCACGACCAAGCGAAGGTTCAGGGTACGAGCAAAGTTGACAGCCAGCTGAATTTGCGCAACGCTGCTAACTTTCACTGCGTATTCTGAGTATCCTCCCTGGGTGCAAGTGCCATTGGCGAAATTGCCTGTAGTAGGAATGGGGCATGTCATTCCATACCACAGGGGATTCATCAGCGCACCATTGTCGTTGTAGCTACTCCTGTCAGTCTAAGTGCCATTGTGCTCACAAGTATCATCACTTACTAAATCTCCTCCGCATCGAAATTCTCGACGAGGTCTGCGCACTTTGCGGCGTCGTAGTTGTTGTACTCGGACGTCTTGTAGCAAGAAGAGCCTATAGGTACGATCTTCTCTAAAGCACCACCGAGTAGGAGATCGAACACCCCCCACAAAAGCTTTCCTGGATACAGAAGATCGCCAGGCATGGTCTTGCATCGGAGTGATCGTCGCGCACGGCGAGTACGCACAGACAAGCTGGAATTGGAGCTGTCCTCAAACTCGAAGAGGGAAGCATACTCAGCAAGCTCTGGGCTCTGTTGCATCGAGGAGACAACATCGTCAGTCAGCTGTACGGCTTCGACTCCAAAAAGAGCGAGTTTGGCAGGCGTGACATAGGTAGCGAGCGTCTCAGCAGCAGGTGGGACGGAAAATGCGAGTGTGGCGCTCTGTGCCGCCGTGAAACCGGCATAGGCCAAGGAGAACGTTATGGACCTCGCCAACATGTTGGAAGACGAACCTTGCAGTTGAAACGGAAGTAGTAGCGGCTGGTTGAAGAGTCCTTGGCTGCCACGTTCCTGTACCGAACGCAAGGTTTTATACGAATCTCCTCATAACGCACAGGTGGCAGCGCATCAGTAATCTTGGTCGAGCCCATTTGCCGCTCACTTGGGGACTATCTTCCCACTTGAGCATCGGCAAGAAAAAGTGGGGTGAGATACGGCGAGGCCATCTCGTCTAGAGTCTAAAGTTGGTATGGGATTTCATCCTGTGCACCCGCCCAGAGAAATCGAAGACGCGAAGGATGGTAATTCCAATCTTGCGCCCACGCCTCATCCGTACAGCTCATGCGCTTTTTATTAAGGAGCGAAGAGGGTCTAGACTTCCACGACCATGAACATGTCACGTTGGCTGAGTCGCGGTTAGTTGTTCCGCGGCGATCACACCATTGAGCGATGGACATTCGAACAGGCTTCACCAGCCGGTTCATCGAGGTACGGACTGCTAAGGAGGCTTCCCGCGCATCCGCCTCTGCTTTAGAGCGGGTGCACCGTGCGTAGGTTCCTGGAGAAGATTCCGGATCAGGCAGCTAGTGGGGCACCTGCCGAGCATCGTACTAGACAGGGCTCTGCATGTGTAGAGCGAATCCTATAGCTATGCCTCAACACCTTGAACGGAACCCTAATCAATTTGTATGGCTTCTACTAGGCCCTGGGTCTCTATGAACTGTGGAGATGTTCACATACTGCGCTACACATTTGTCTCCAAGGATGAATGGCTAGATAAAGGTGGTGGAGGCGTTGCCGATAGAGATCTTTACAGGCTGTCCTATGGATTATTGGAGGATTTTGCCATCCCGTGAGGAGGATCGATTGGAGCCACAATATGCAAGGGTCTTCAAAGCAGAGTCTCGAGGTACTCACATTCTCGGAGGCTGTGTCCCAGTCGCATAGCTCTGCGGCTGCGCAAACTATGTTCCATCAGGACTAGCCGTCTTGCATGTGCTTCCACGTCGGTTCCGTCGCCTTGGGTGTCCTTTTCGGACGAACGACTGTTTTGTCACTTTACATTTGCTATATGATTGGTTCGCAAGGGACGGGACGTGGCGCGCAACACAGGAGATGAAATCTTCGCTTCCATGTGCGAGACTCGTTTACTCAGATAGTTTTCAGGTTTGCAGCGTTACCAGTATCTTGGGAAAGGAACGCAACATCCTCGGCACGCTGTTGAGCGGGCTGAATCCTATTCGAACATGGTCTCGATGTTGAATGCTGTCAGGTCCGCGGGTCATATAAAGACTTCACGAGTATCACTTTTCGTGTGACTTCGACCGAGTTGTTTTCGAATTGAACGCCAATCTGAAATCCCATCATGGCAGTACCCGCTTTTCCTGCACCAGACATGTCTGGTGTTGATCCAGGGCTTCAACCTACGCTCATCGCATTATTATACCTCTTCCCAGGACTTGCTCTTGCGGTGCTTATGGTTCGATTTTGGAGGAAGTGGCAAGACCATATCCTTGGCGGAGGTATGAGCACGGGGCTACATTGGCTGGTCTATGCTGATATCTTTGCAGACGACGTTCTCATCGCCATCGCGTGGGCTCTGGCATTGTCCAATAGCGTGATTACCCACAAATGTAAGAACTTGTCCACATGACGACCTTGAAATGTTCGAATGCCTGACGCTTATGGAGTTTGTGTCGCGATGTACACCGGATACCACGATGAAGATGTTCCGTATCCAGCGATCGACTTCCTTAATGCATTCAAGGTACGTTTGTAAAACGTGTGTGCTGCAACTTACCCATATACTGAGGGACTTATTCACAGCTTAAGTATGCGTTGAGTCTCGTGTACTCACCATGTATCGGCTTCGTCAAAGCATCCTTCTTGTGGACGCTTTACAAACTTCGTTCAAACAATGTTTGGATCAAGCGGTGTATCCTCGGCCTCCAAGCGATCAACACCATTTTCATCGTTGCTTTCACGATACTTGCTGCAATACCCTGCTGGCCGATAGCGAAGAACTGGCAACCCGACCTGACTGGGGGTTGCTACGATCCTCTAGATTACATCCTGGCCAACATCTCGATCGTACTTATCACTGATGTCCTAGTTCTCCTGTAAGTCTTTCTCGCTTGCACCAAACAACCGATGCTGACATTGCACCAGAATTCCGACATGGATAATCTGGGACTTGCAAATGCCACTCAAGCGCAAGATTGTTACAGTATCGTTTCTCTCTCTCGGTCTCATCGTAATAGCAATCGGCGCCGTGCGATTCGTTTGGCTCATCGACGCTTTCATAGGCAAAACAAAAAGCTACAGTGTCAAAGCGTCCTACTCTGCAATCGAGTCTAGTGTCGCTATCATTGGAACCTCGGGGCCAACTATTAAATACATACTGTCACGCTTCGTACCCTGGCTCCGTCCTTCATTTGAGCGCTCGATCGCGAACAAGAACTCATACGACGCCTATGGGAACCACTCGGATGTTGCTGCTAGGCGAGCGAGGTCACATTACGGGACGAAAAGTGGATATGATGATTTGGATATGGTGAGCGTTCACCATGAACAGTTCGAGATGAAGAGCAGTTGGCAAAAGAAGAGGGGGTGGGATGACGACGCAAGAAGCGATGAGCAGCACATCACCGGCGAAGGTCTCGGCATCAACAAGACAGTGGAATGGATGGTAGACACGAAAGAGCGCTCGCATATTAGCAAAACAGTCTCGGATGAACCAAATGTCGCTAACGACAAGCCTGCGACAAGTCCCGCACAAATCATTTAGGCTGGAGGTGTGTTGGGGCAGCAAGAATTTTACATACATGGCGAGTTGCGCTATGAGTATAGTTTTGATCCAACGATTTGCCTAATTGCACGTTTGTTGAAGAAACCAATTTGCGATGTGAAATGAGTTCGCTGTTGGGCGGCGTTCGGCCGCAGCTGACCCGCGCTCGCTGCCGGTCTTGTTTCCGGATCTTGGGGCGCGGTATACCCGATTCGGCGACTTCCCCTCAATCTCAATTGCCTGGCCCGCGGTTGGCCGAGCCATAAGACGGTATCTCCACCGATACTGGGCGTCGCAGATGTCTGAACAATGTCGCGAATTGATGGAGCCGAAGTAGCAAAGCACAGCAGCAAGAAGGACTGCTGGATAGTGTTGGATTCAAAAGCATATGATGTGACAAACTTCCTGGCGGACCACCCAGGTGGCGCACCGATCATCTTGAAGAATGCCGGGTCGGTGAGTACAATGGCGCGGCTCAAAGACCAAGAGCTGATGTTAGACAGGATGCGACAGAAGAGTTCAAGAGATACCACCCGTTGAGTTATCTGGAGGATTATCTGCCTAAAGATGCCTTCCTCGGTCCCGTCGACCCCAACACATTTGGTCAGCTACGCCAGATCAAGAGCGAAGAGTCGACGAAGCCGTCTGACACCGATCCAAACTCCAAGGAAATCCCACATGTGAGCCTTTGCGTCTCCACGACCGACTTTGAGGCAGCGGCAAAGGCTGTCATGCCTCACAAGTCGTACGTCTATGCGTCCGGTTCTGCAAACACTGGCGCGTCGATCAGAGGCAACATAGATGACTGGGGGCGCATCAACTTCCGTCCGCGTGTGATGCGCAACGTCGGCGATGTAGACACGCGCCGCAAGATCTTCGGGCACAGCTCGCCATACCCATTCTACATCTCGCCTATGGGAACAATGGGCGCCATCCACGAAGCTGCCGAGCCAGAGATGATCCGAGGCGCAGTGCGCAAGGGCATTCACAAGGTCGTCAGTACTGCAAGCTCGAAGAGCAGCGAGCAGATCATGCAGAGCTACAAAGATGAGCAGCAGAGGCTTGGTAGCAACAGCACAACGCAATTGTTTTACCAATACTACATGCCTGTCGACCGCAATAAGGCCATCGAACTTATGCGCATCGTCAAGCGCTGCGGCTATAATGGCCTCTGGATAACAGTCGACACGCCCGTGCTTGGAAAGCGAACTGCGGATCGCTATCTCCAGGCTGAGGAGGCGCTAGCAGTCGGGCTCGCAGAAGAAAGTACAGCGGAATGGGAGACCGGCGGCGACAACGCTTTCGCACCCGCGATGGGGGGACGGCCAGTTCAGGGCCAACTTAGCCCACATACGACCTGGGAGGATCTCGAGTGGATTCGCAAGGAGTGGGAAGGCCCGATCGTTTTGAAGGGTGTACAATGCGCGGAGGACGCGAAGCTTGCGATGGAGTATGGCTGTGATGGAATTCTGTTGAGCAACCATGGCGGCAGGCAATTGCACACAGCACCCAGTGCGCTCATGACGCTGCTGGAGATTCGAACGTATTGCCCAGAAGTCCTGGGAAAACTAGAGGTCTTCCTCGATGGCGGTCTGAGAGATGGAAACGACGTGCTAAAAGCATTGTGTCTGGGTGCCACAGCCGTCGGCGTAGGTAGACCCTTCCTATACGCGCTTGGAGCGTATGGGTCGAAGGGTGTCGAGAGATGTGTTGACAGTAAGTTTGATCGTGTTTCAACCAGGGTAGTATACTGACATGCGACAGTTCTTGCGGATGAGCTGCAGACGGGTATGCGGTTGTTGGGCATAACATCACTGGATCAGTGCAGACCTGAGATGGTCAATGCGACGCGTCTACTGAATGAAATGTGGCGACCAGAGCAGCTGAGTCTGAAGAGCAAGCTGTAAAGGTAGGGTGTGTTGGTTACGTGGGTCATAGTTCCAAGTTTCAAGTTTTGCGAGCGAATGAAATGGAATTTGGATTAGACACAGCGTGCACTAGCAATCCAATCACGTTAAGCACTACACTTGCATGATTAATGGATCGTAGTCTGCCTTTCAGTGTTGTTACCGATGTCGCCGACCCCGCCGTCCCCAGATGCAGAATTTTCTGACCCCTCATCGCCCACCCCACCATGTCATTGAGCTACAATATATAATCACAATCTGACGATTTCTCCATCAACAGCAGTTATCCTGTGACGGACAGATGGCCGTAAGTCTTAGTCAGCATCCTCTGCAGCATAACAAATATTAACAACTCCTGTAGGAGCTGGTTATGGCGCCAGGTTAAGGTTTCTTAACGTTAAGTCTACGGTACTTTGTTACCTCCAAGACATCCTGGTCACGAAAGTGGCGTGGGTTCGAGTCCCACTCTGTTCAGCATTCGTCTGGCATTGTCAGATACTCCAGGATACATTTTTTTTGGTGTTTCGGGCGCCCCTGAGCGTTGGTCACTAAGCCCATGCTCTGACACCCTTCCACCCACTCTCTTCTTACCTAGATGGAGGGAGGCTTTGCTTTTTGTACTCTGATATCGATTGGGGTGCTATTAAGACTTTGTTTGTAATTGCATATAGTGCATGTGTATGTTGCGCTGTTACAGGGCTTGCGCAGTCACTCCGTGTCTTATCACGTTAGAAAGAACTCGAATCAGCACACAAATTGTTGCATAGAAGTCTTCGTAGAGCCTGCATAGCTTGTACAGTTGAATATGCTATTGTATTGCAATTCAAATGTTGGTATATCTCACTTTTTCGCAACAGCGACAAGCGCGACACAGGGAAAACCCTCCACCTCAACCACACCCGCACCTTTCTGCCCATTCAAAGGCCTCTGGATCTTTACCGCTGCCTTCTTTCCAGCAAGGTTCAACTGCTTCGCGAACTCCTCGTTCTCTTCATCGGTCCACTTTGGTCCCATGTTCTTCCACATACCGAGCATGTAGCCGCAAGTCTCCTCCGCAGTCTTCGATGCATAATATACTGTCTTCTCGTGCATCTCAACATCTTTGAATCCTGCGCCTTCCATGATCTTCTTCGTATGCGAAGCTTCGAACCACTCATCCGCGACAGGCCAGCGGAATAGGGGGTCGTCTGGCTTGACGGCTTTCTGCGCTTCATGAACAACAGCCATGTGGCCTGTAGACTTCCAGGTAGTGACAACAGCCGTTCCTCCTGGCTTAAGAGTGCGATAGATCTCCGCCGCACCCTTTTCTCCGTCAGGGAAGAACATGATGCCCATGTTGGTGATGGAGTGCGTAAACGTCTCGTCGGGGAATGTCAGATTGACTCCGTCCATCACGTCGAGGGATAAAGTTGCCGCAGAAGTTGTAGCTGGAAGGGCGTGGCGTGCTAGATCGACCATCGGTTTCGCGTTATCGACACAGGCTGCCTTGAGTGGAGTGTCTGGGTATCTGTACAATAGCTCTTGCGCAGCTATACCATTTCCGCATGCATTATCTAGCACGACGGAATTCGAATCGACCGCAGGCAACATGTCGATGAGATGCATGGCAACTTCGCGGGTGCAGCCACCGGTTGCAGCCTCATAGGTCGAAGCAAGCATCTCGAACATCTCGCTTGCGTTCATGTTGGGTTCGCTCATGATGATGATGGAACCTTCGCCATTGTATTTTGAGCGATACTATACATTAAATACCGGGTCAGCAAGGTACTTATATATGGCTGACTGCGGACGAAAAGAGTAAGAACGAAGGATTGTGGCTGGGGCGGGGGTAGACGAGAACACGCGAAACAAGAAATACGCCTGAAATCCTCCATGTTTCTTGTTGGACCGATTTGATGCAGCACCTTTAGTCGAAGTTCGTTAAGAAGTATCTGGGTTTCCTTTGGCTGGGGGCTCGGACCTCGGAGACATTCGCATGCACCCTGTGGCCTAAACAAAGTCGCCGACTGCAGCTTGAGTCGTTGCGCATTCCTTGGGAAAAATAAGCTAGAGACGGATTCAGTACGCCCCGTCGTTGTTCTAGCTGTATGGAGAAGATACAAGGTTGTGGATGACTGCGTTCAACGCTAAACATGCTTACCCATCCATTCACAGTAAATGCCCGCATCTGCTTCGATATTCTACCTTTAATAGTGCGCAGCCCCTTCTCAAACAAGAAAATAACATCTGCGCTATTCGCTCTTCGAAGTGATAAAGTTTCTGAAGTCTGTACTGGCATTCCTCGGATGATTCGGACGACACCAAGAATTTCGGGCGTAAGCTTACACACCATCTCAGATTTTTGCATCCTCTTTGAACCTAATCAATCCATCCTGGAAGGTCGTCGCAATATGTACGCCACTCTCATAGTCCCACATACGGCTATTATGTAGCGCTCTACCTCCCGTAGCTCGAGTAAGCCACGCTTCTTGCACAAACCATTTTCGTCCGTCCTTATCACTGCCCTTGTGTCCCTCCAGGTTACAGAGTGGCAGCGGACCATCTTCCCACAATGTCGCGTCGGCGTTCGGGTGGTCGATCCGCGGTTCACTAGGCATGATGAGGTCCTTGATACCGACATGGAAGATGACGCTGTGAGATAGTGATGCCATGCGTTTGTAACCCCGAGGCCGGTCGAGATGGTTTGGCACAATGAATAGCGAGTTACGATCCGATGCGTACAAGTGTGCACAGGCGTGCATGTTGGCCTCTCGTGTCAATGTGAGCTTCTGGTCGGATTCCGAGGGCGGTGGATATGGTGCGGTTGGTAATGGAAGTGCACCGCGCAGCGTGTAAAACGTCAGCTGTTTACGATCGAGCGGATGACGGCTTTGATTGTACTTCGACATGTCAGCCTTGCGGATGTGCAAGCCGGCGATGGGGTTAAAGTGATCGGGATGAGCTGGAAGGTAAGTTTCCCGGAAATGCTGCAGAGGTAGGAGTACGAAGTCAGTACATGTCTCACATCCACTTCGTGCAGGCAGAACTTACCTCGGAATCATTGCTTGGAGCAGCCGCATGCTCCATTGGCTCATCTTCTTTGCCTTCTAGTGCGTCGCGATACACCTCTTTCAGATCAACAGACTCTTGCATATCGAATGGTGAGCTTTCTTCGCGTTTGAAGGAGCAGGTACAGGTGAACATATCTCCGTCGGCTGCAACCTGGCTTACGGTCACGTTTCGTGTGCAATAATTGTAACCGTCTCGAATCTTTCGGACGCGATAGGTGTAGTGTTCATTGGGCTTCCCACCTAGTACGAACCACCCGGTAATGTTCTAGCATATTGTTAAGTTGTAGTTGGAGCAGAACGTGTCGCTACAGCTTACATGTATGAGAAATCCTTCTGCGACAGTCTGGGCAGCAGCCCATGCGGCTTGCGCAAACACGTGGCCGCCGTACGTCCCATTCTCACCACCAGTCGGGGAGTAGGCTTTGACGATGGAGCGGAATGTCCAGTTGTCAATGCGTTCGAGTGCGATCACCTTTTCGAACGGCAGAACCTGCTTATCAGAGGTAAAGTAGGGACGTACGACCATGGCAGCGACTACAACGTCTGAACTGACGTAGGAGTACGCTGATGCTTGATAGAGGCCATCATCGTATTGGGCGGGTGTTGCGATGTGCAGCCGGTACAGATGTGGCTAGCGCTAACGAGTTACCTCGGAACGGGCGGGGTTCGGATGAATGACGGCGCAAGTTGTTAACCTCCGTCGCTAGGGGTGGCTACAGTTTATGTCACATGTTACAAAAAACGTGTAAGCAGAAGTATGCATTGTCTTACATGCTACCTACTTGCTAAAATACAATAGTGTGTATGCAGCAATTTGAAAACGTTACAAAATCTGACCACCCCTGAGGGGTGCCGTTGGTGCAACAAGATATGCGGTTTGCGAGAGACGCGATCCAATTTGAACGTCATGAAATTCCATGATGAGCATGCATGCGTGCGTATTTACATGTCGAACAGATTGCTTCCGCCTCATCTTCCATCCCTCTTCTTCAGAACCCATAGCCGGATGAAGTAAAATACAAGACCGCAGAGCCATATTCCTACAAGGATCGCTGCTTGAACGGGCGCGAATACTGCGCCTCTGATTACGACGAAACCGCTGATTATAGCGAACAGTATAGGGATGAGAATGAACGGTTTCACAGGCCGGGGTAGATCAGGCTCGCGGAATCGTAATATAATTGCGCCGAGAACCGTGAGGAAGAAGAAAGCATACTCGGCAAGGCCATTGAGAGTCAGTAAGATGCGCATGTTGCCGAGTAGAATGTATACTGCCGAGAGGACAGTGTTGAGTATGAGGGCGTTGCTAGCAATTGTTAGCAGAGGATGACCGGACATGACGGCCTACATACATTGGTGACTCTCCATCATCCATAGCCGTGTCAGCTGCCTCGCTCGAATCGGCGCGTTTAGTCACCTTCAGAGTACCGACGCGACCGACTGTGCCGAGAATTTGCGGGAACCAATTGTTGTTAGATGCTGCGACGGTCATCCTACCAGCCACGAAGGAGTTTCCAAGGGCGGAGCCTGCAATGACGAGACATATGAGCGCGGTAGCGAAGTAAGCTACTCCCTTGCCAAGGAAGTGGGTAACAGCTGTCTAAGACATATCAGTATAAAGGCGTTATACATGACTCTGAAGGACTTACCACAGCAGCAGCATCCGTTGTCGACACTACCTTCCAAGGGAGAAGAACGTAGTAGACAGCGTTGGCGGCGACATAGCATAGTATGATTGTGGGTATAGCGGTATTGATGGAAAGTGGTAGTTGGCGACTGGGTTGACGCAATTCTGCCGCGACGTAATTCGCCTTGTCCCAGCCGGAATACGCCCACAAAGCTCCGTACAACGCTGTACTGTAAAAGCCGAGTGACTCCCACGTAGTCACTTTCGTCCAATCGAATTTCGACCCATCGGGCAGTATGGTGTCTCTTGGAGAGAACCAATTATTTTGATGCCAATCGCGACCTCCAAGGTCCTTACTCTTACCGACAAAGACAAAGACGACCACTAAACCAGATACGATAAGGAGAAAAATGGTAAGCAGCTTTATGGCGACGAAGAAACTAGACAGCCGAGTACTTGTCTTGGTGCTAATGGAGTTCAACGTCGTTACAAATACTAAGACAAGTAGAGACAATAGCTTGTGGGTGAGAGGCGGATCTGGTTCGTTCACGCCCAAACTGGAGTAAATGGACTCCACAAATACTATGCTGAGAATAGCAAGGGTAGCAGGCATGGTGGCCACTACCCAAGACCAAGCAGCCATGTATCCAAAGACGTCGCCATAGATGTAGGTGAGATAAGGCTGGATTCCGCCTTCTCCGGGGAATGCGGTACCCAGTTCAGCCATTGTCAAAGCACCTGTCCATGCTAAAACTCCACCAACTAGCCATACGAGGAGTCCAGCACCAGGTGACGGAACGTTCGCATCGATAGGCCCAGGCGATGAAAACACTCCCGAGCCGATGACGATGCTTATCAGCAGCGCGAACCCATCCAGCGCACCAAGATTGCGAGCAAAGGTGTTTCGCGTCGCCGTAACGTCATCGTGTTCTTCGTCCGGGGCATACGATGTCGTGGATTCTTGGCGGAGTAGAGGCGCAGTCTCTGAGGGTGTCATTGTCGCGTTCTCGAGTTTCAGAGGTTTGATGAGCCAATCGTCGCTTTTGCCGAGGTTGTCACGCGTCACACGCGTCAACGTGATGTGTGTAGGACGCGTCCGGTCCTTCTTGGGCCGCAGGAGTCGCAATTCTTTATTGTCTGGTGCTGTCTGAGCTAGAGCAACTAATACCCAATGCTGTGGTTGTGTGAAAGCAAAAGGTGGCTGGCTAAGCCGCGCGACACTATCGCGTCAGGATGAACCGAACTTACGTCATCCCCTTTCCGCACCAACCGCCGCGGCATCGAAATCTGTGACTTCACTTTGCGGTCTTTGCAGGATCAGAATCCCACAGTTTTTCAGAGGCTCCACTTCATCCGTTCTTCTCTGTATCGTTATGCATAACGTCATACGGCATATTCACGGCCTGGCAGCTTTCGTTTTCCCGATTCTGGAGCTCGAGACTCTGCAGCCAAGGTTCTCGCCCAGGCCCGTATTACGCGTGTTGAGTGCATCTGAAAACCAATTATTGCGTGGATTGAGAAGCTAAGCAAATATGTACACTTTGCAAGCATATTTGTAGGTGTAGCTCGATGTGAGCCCTTCTCGATATGTATAGCGCCGGCGGCATCAGCGAAGGAGCTCAGAGTCTTGACAAGACTAACGACCTGGTCTGTTTTCACTACAAGCCATGGTTCACCGTTAATGTGTATTGCCTTCTCTTTCGCAGAGCATAATTCATAACAGACAACATTGACGGCAGAACCAGATGAAGGAGTCCGATGTGTGTCTGTGCACGCCAACCTAGGGAAAAACTGAACAGCCTGGAGCCTACGTTGACGTTGGGTCACCTACTTTGCAAGGTTATAGGCCAATGTAGTCTACAGACATTTTCAGCTTTTTGTATAAGGTGTGCGACCATGTCTGAGGGGTAGAACCCCAGCTCATGAGCGACGATGAATGTCCCATGCATCGCGACGATACCGGCCTGCTTCCGTAGTAGCACAGGCAGCGACGAGACGACAGTCATGGTTAGCACATGGTGCACTTGTGACATTTACAGAAACCTGTTCCCGCTCACGCTCACATGGGAAATCGTGGGGAGGTTAAGCTTAAATTCATAGTGCGATGACAGACCAATGACGCTGGGTGGGTTCGTCGGCTTTGTCGGCCCTTGCAGGCTTAGCGGGCTGTATAGGGCTTAGCGCTGCGCATCATCATGGCGACGTCATTCTTGGTGAGCATGCAGTTTGCTTGCAGCTGCTTAAAGCTCTGGATCCCTTGTCGAACTTTCCTCTATCACACACTGCTTTCTTGCAAGATACCCCAGGCCTTATCAATTGCATTCAGGTCTCTTTCTCAGATTCATTGACTACACAATCACCTTCATACCCAACCATGTTCTCGAGACAAGCAACTCAGAACGCGCGTTTTGCAGCACGGTGTGCTCGCCGCCCAGCTGCGCGGGTAACCAACCCTCAGTTCCGCGCCCAGAAGCCCCGCTTCCAGTCCACCGAGTCAGCAACCTCCGGCAACGCGGGCGCCGGCTCACATGCCGCCATCGGTGCCGCTTCTGGTGCCCTTGCTGCAGTCACCGTCGGCTACATCTTCTACAGGCAATCAGGCGCCCGTGACGTTGTGGTGGCTTCCAAGACTGCCAAAGGCTACGTCAGCTCAGCTACACAGAAGATCAAGGAGCAGACACCTGAACCCAACGAGGCGCTGCAATGGCTACGCAACGCCGCGCAGAGCTACGCAGCCTTCATCCCCGGCGCCAAGGGCTACGTTGATTCTGCATTCGATGACCTCGATGCCATTCGCGCAAAGCACGGCAAGGAGGTCGACCAAATCGTCACCGAAGCATACGATGAAATGCGCCAGGTCCTCGGCAATGGCGACATGAGCCTTGTTACCGCACACAAGACTTGGGACGTCATTACCAAGCACATGAGCCGCATCGCAGATCTCGCTGGCGACGCGTCGCAGCAGATCATGGACAACCACCCTCAACTCAAGGAGAAGGTTGGCGGTAACATCGACAAGCTCAAGGAGTACGGCGACAAGTATGGTCCTGAGGCCAAGAAGGAGGTCGATAGAACATGGAAGCAGATCAGCGACGTCGTCAAGACCGGCGTGAGCGCATCCAACATCGAAAAGATCCGCAGCATCGTACAAGAAAAGGTTGACAAGCTTAAGAAGATGGGTGACGAGGCCTGGGACAAGGGTATGGAGCAGGCTAAGCCCTACCTTGACAAGAACCCTCAGGTCAAGAAGATTGTGGAGGAGAACGCAGATGCGCTCAAGGGCGGAAACGTACAAGAGCTGTACGAGCGCGTCAAGTCTGCTGTCGAGAAAGGCGACACAGGTGACCTCGAGTCATACGTCAAGAGCGCTGCCAACAAGGCTAAGGATGCTGGTTTCGGTGACTACGAACAATACCTCAAGCAGATCCCTGGAGGCGACCAGATCATGCCCAAGTTGAGCCAGCTCCAGGATGTTGCCCAGAAGCACGGCGATGAGGCTCAGAAGCTCTTCCGAGACACCGTCTCAGAGATCTCCAGCATCCTCCAGAAGAAGGGAGATGAAGCGTCAAAGTTGGCCGAGAAGGCGAAGGAGGACTCGAAGAAATAAGGTTGTCAGAGGTATTCTCACCTGAAACCCTGAAGAGTGTTACGATTAGTCTACTTGTATAATAAGGCATCACTGGCGTTGAGCATGTTGAGCGAAAAGTATAACGAGTTCTACATAATTACGTTTGATCCTGTACTGTTCGTCTCATTCCATGTCGTGGTGATCTCACCTTGGGCTAACTACTCGAACCATACTAGATCATCCGCACATGTGCCATAAAGCAGCGAGTGATGTTAACACGATCTTCTGGTCCTGATGAGTAACAATCTGGTCAAGGGTCTTGTGTAGAAGTTCGGCGAGCAGGTTCCATTAAAGAAAAGTGCATATCGTATTTCATCATCGTAGTATGACGCGGTCGACAGACGATTTCACAAGTGAGTTCCTCTGACGACACAAGTTGTCTTGCGCAGCTCTATAGACACCACGTGAGACGTGGCATGCGTACCAGGAACCCGGTACGTACAATCGCCAGGCCCGCGCAAGAACTCACACCAGAACTTGCATCAAGCCCTGGAGTGATAGCATCTTGTTCAGATCGTCATCACATGCGCCACTCGATCACACCCAAGTGGTGAGGCTGCAGTGAGACATGGGCGGGGATGCAAGCCCATCACTGCCTGTATGCAGGAACTTTTTACTATGCACACCGCATACCGTCTTGGGTTCTGGAATCCTCTATGCGGGGTGAGGTGGTCAGCGCGATGGTAGGTTGGACAAGACGTGGGCTTGCGGCAACATGTCATTCAATACAGTAGCTCGCAACCTAAAGTAAATTTTAGGCGGTGAGACGAGCGCGTAGAAAGTATGATATTCACGGTAAAAGATATGACAGAACGCAAGGCGAAATGCGTGTTGTTAGGTTGCCGGCAAGGTTGTTGCCAAACGACCCCGCGATCCGCTAAGGAAGTAAAGTGGGTCCGAGGTGAAAGAAAGTGGTGAGAGAAGCTGCGACCGCGACGTTCGTCCGCCCAATAGACCGGGCACGCTCCACTCGGTCAGCCAATGACGTAAACGCGCCTCCGCTGCTGCACCGCCCTCCCCTGACACCTGGCAGGCGCTACTACTCTATTTACTCCTCTCTCTCTCAACAAAACCCCCAGCTTCTACAACTTCTCACTTCAATTCTCCACTTCTCTCTACCAAACCCCTTTCTTGCACGTCGATCGACACCACTACTACTCCTATCCACCCAACTACTACACACTACACAACCGCAACCATGGGCAAGGTACGCGTTCCTGTGCTAACATGTACCCCGCCAGTACCCCGCTAACACGTGCATAGGCGAAGTACATCATGCTCGACTGCGACAACACGCTCGTCCAGTCTGAGCGTTTCGCGTTCGAGGCCTGCGCCGACCTCACCAACCAGGTCCTCGAGAAGCACAACATCTCCGACCGCTACACAGCCGAGTCATTGCTCGAGGACTTTGTCGGCCACAACTTCCGCGGCATGCTCAATGGTCTGCAGAAGAAGCACAAGTTCAAGATGAACGACGCCGAGATGGAGGACTTTGTCGCGCAAGAACTCGGAGCCGTGACCCTCAAGCTCAGCCAGAAGGCCGTCGAGTGCCCCGGTGTGACTGAGCAGCTCAACAAGCTCAAGGAGCAGGGCTACCCCATGTCCGTCGTCTCTACTTCCGCCAAGAGCCGTGTCGTCGCCTCCATCGAGAAGGCCGGCATCGCCCACTTCTTCCCTCCCGAGCACGTCTACTCCGCCGCCACCTCACTCGACCCCCCTTCATCCAAGCCCGACCCCAAGATCTACCTATACGCTGCTGAGCAGCTCGGTGTCAAGCCCTCCGAGGCCGTCACCGTCGAGGACAGCAAGAGCGGTGCCACTGCTGCCATGCGCGCGGGCATCCCTTGCATCGGCTACGTTGGCATCTACGGCATCGAGGAGGGCAAAGAGAAGATGGAACAGATGGCCAAGCTCCTCACCGAGGAGACCAAGTGCGCGGCCATCATGTACGACTGGAAGGAGTTCCCAGAGTGCCTGAAGAAGGTCGAGGCCAAGTTGTAAGTGCTTGGTCCGACACTGGGGAGCCGAGGAAGAGGAACATTTCACCCTGTCTCCCCGCCATTGCGGGTGAGCTTACGATCAGATTCACGACATCAATGACTACATAGATTCAGTAATGAAGATTTAGTGGACACAGTCCCATTTACAACAGCTACCTGCTACCTGCCGCTTCCTCTGCTGTGTTGATTGTTTTGTTTGGTGACGCAATGGTTGGCCCCGCGCCGTTTAGTGGGCAGGCGTTCCAGGCTCGGGTGACGGCCCAACGCTGCCCCGCTCCTCCCCACTTGAGACCCATCGTGACCCATCGTGAACTGCAAACTCCATCGCGAAATATCCCGAACATCGAACATTTGCCTTTGCCATCCCAGATCTCTAGCGCTGCGTTCGCGCGAGATCAATCTCTGCTGCTCACGTGCATGCAAGTAAGCAAATTTGAACGGCCGCCGTGGCACTGGCCAGACCCCAACACCAGCCCCAACACCCTACGGCCCGGCGCGCTCATCCATCGCCCTATTATTAATGCTTGTCTGCTTATTGCTGACATTAACGAGCTTGTTGTATCGACACAAGTGAACAGCCTGCAGCTCTCACGCGAATTTTCCAACCGAATCACGCGATGGAGCCGTCCCCGCCCGTAGCCGCTTGAGCCTCACATGCACCCCGTTCAGTACAAACCACGAAAACTAAACACCCATCTCCGTGAAGAAAAATGATTCTATACCAAAAGAGCTTAGAAGGTTACATTGCCTTGAAGATATACAAAATTAAGGTTTGGAGGCAGCGTAGACTTCAAAGCACCTGTTTAACTTTGGCCTTTGATGGGGTGCATGCTCACATGCCTCGGTAAAACAGGCCGCCCGTCAACTCTCCCTGCGCCTGCGCTCTATGCGCAGCGCAACACCCAACAAGGCTCGTTGGCCGGCACATCCACGAAACGATATGGTCACAACCCACTGAATAACTGCATACGATAATCCCATTGCCTGGCCAAACGTTCAACAACAGCAGCTGTTATCTTTGTTCCAGGAACAGCAGTTATCTGTATCCTAGGATCTGCACCTTGGCATCTGGGCGCTGCCTTCTTCCGCTGTAGCCAAGACATGCTTAGTGAAGCCTCCTTCCTATCTCGTCGACAGCTCCTTACACGAAGCTTTTGCTTCATCTAAAGCCACCAATGTCATACCCTGTACGGCATTCGTCCTCATCTATACGTTGCTTATGATCTCTACCGGCTGCCAATCGCGGATCTGTACCACCAGGTGTAATGGATGGTTACATGGTTACACGGATAGTAGCATCCAAAAGGGCAGGTATGGTGGCTACCTGCCGGGTTTGCCATAGGTGCTGCAGTATGGGTGCTGGCATGTCGAGCACCTCCATGTCATAGAGATGCATTTAAGAGTGTGCGAAGAGCCCATGATGGTTCTCCATCGGCATTTTGCGCATCGTTCAAGTCGCAGTCAACATGTATCTACGCACCGCCCTTCTTTCCTTGTCCGCTCTTGCGGCGGCAAAGGAAATGCCCAAGGATGAGTTCAAAGCCGCACAGCTTTACGACTCTGGTATCAGGCACGAGAACAATGTTGCCCTCAAGAAGGTCGCAACCGCATTCCAGCATCTTCGAATTCTGTATTAACCCTTGTCAGGAATCATGGGCACGCCAGGAAGCTGCGGGCATGTACAACTCTGCCCAATACGCCGAAATCAAAGACAAGGTGGAGTGCATGAATGGCACCGCAATCGCCGGACAGGACGTCTTCCGATGCCAAAATGTCAGTCCATGCACCATCCATCACGAGTTTCAGTCATTAATGAATCGGTATAGATTGACTTGCTTCACTTCTTGTCGCACGCCGAGCTCGGCAGCACTCGCGGTGTCGGATCTTCTTCATGGGGTAAGAGTTCACAGATCAAGTTGCTGAGATCTTCGCTAAACAACATTAGGCTGGACTTCTGAAGATGGCCGCGAATTTGTTGCCATCGGACAACAAGATGGCGCTGCGTTCGCTGAAATCACTGCAGAGGGCAAGCTTTCGTACTTAGGTCGTCTACCCGCCTACTCTACGCCCAGCACGTGGCGCGAGATCCGTGGCCAGAACAACCTGATGATCATCGGTAGCGAGGCGGTCGGCCATGGCATTCAGATCTTCGACATGAAGAAGCTGATCGACATCGACCCTGCGTCTCCTGTCACCTTTAGCAATGCCAATGACCTCGTTGGTCATTTCAAAGGCCTTCCCAACGGCCGAACACACAACGTCGTCACAAACCCAGAGACAAACTTCATCTATGCCGTTGGTGCCCAGCCAAGGACTGACAAGTGCAAGTCGGGCATTATCTTCATTGATATCACCGACCCTTCAAACCCAACAAGCCCGGGCTGGTGAGTGAGACATGTTGTTGGGGATGTGAGCATCACTGACTCAGAATAGTGCATCAGAGGACGGTTACGTACACGATGCGCAATGCCTCATCTACCGCGGACCAGATGCGGAATTCGAGGGCCATGAGATTTGCTATGGCTACAACGAGGACTCTCTTACGATCTACGATGTGACTGACAAGAAGGCCCCGGTCATCTTATCTAACACTTCTTACGAAGGCGCGGCATACACCCACCAGGGCAACGTTTTGGACCCCATGAACCAGCAGTTTCTTTTGCTCGATGACGAATATGACGAATACGACAAAGTGGGTCCAGCGATCCCTGGTCACCCCATCACGTATATCTGGGACATCTCATCCCTCCGTGCGCCCAAACAGACTGGACTGTACAAGAGCGGAGCAAAGGGTATCGATCACAACCAGTATGTCGCGAACGGCTTTGCTTACCAATCGAACTACGGCACCGGATTCCGCGTTCTGGACGTTCGCAGCATCCCTGACGACCCGACTGGTGCTGGCGTGAAGGAAGTCGGATTCTTCGGTATGCAAATGTACGATCATCCTATCGATTCATCTATACTGACCTTTGCGCAGACGTTTACCCGGAGGATGACGACATGCCTGGCGGCGGTACCGTCGACTTTGTTGGCACGTGGTCGAGCTATGCATTGTTCAAGAGTGGTCATATCCTGATCAACACCATGGAACGTGGTGTTTTCATTGTCAAGATGCAGGAGGGGTTTGAGAGATAGATGGACAGGACCTCGTCAATCTGAGATTGCTCGCGGCAGGGCGAAGTTTAGAATTCATTGCAACTGTCGATCCCGGCTGTATCGTCGGTATCAGTGCCGCCTCGCGTGCACGACGATTGGTTCAATAAAGAGTTCCGGCACAGCGCACTCCCCCTCTTGATCCCGAATTAAACTTATCAACAATCATGTCCAGACCGCTCAGAGCCCTGTATCAACCCTGCCTCGCAACCTCTAGCGGTCGCGGTATCACCGTTGCTCGCTCTTTGGGCTCTATTCGTTTACCTCCGAACCGCAACTAACCGCCAAGCTACACGCCTCCGCGCAGGATCTAGTCGCAGATCCGTGATATCGCCTCTTCTCGTTTCTTTCGTTCTGATTGTGGCGATGGCGCGCCAAGGGCTTGGCTTTATCTGCACAGTCCGTTCCTACCCAATCAAGTTGCGTCCGGCGTGGAACTAGAGGGCTCCGCCGAGCGACGCGGTTATTCTACCTTCCTCATGCAACACAGCATTGCGCAGCCAAGCAGACTTTCATCAATCGCGTCGCCTTCGCCCCCCAGCTCTACACCCGGCTACCCGTTTCCACGGACCCACCGCATGCCCTTACCTGCTCAATTGCGGTTCCTGAGCGACCATGAAGCACCGATGGATACAGCAGCTGCCTGTATTGGTTAGTTGTACAAGCACATGGTGGCCCATGAAAACTTTCTGGACCAGCCATATGGATACGAGGCTTAGTATATAGAGCCATTCTGTACCTGTGACATATCCCAAGGCAACCTCCTCTTCTCCTGCTCATCTGCCACTACTATTCATCAAGATGAGGTTCGTTCCCTTCGTTGCGCTTGCTGCGCCTGTCCTCGCACAGTACGATGCGAAGCCAAAGCCTTCTGCAAAGCCCGAGAAGCCTCAGAAGCCCCAGTTGCCTGGAAAGCCTCACCCTCATGGGCCACCCAAGAAGCTTGTCTCTCGCAAGGACCTGATCAAGGATATCAAGCTCGAGGACCTTCTCGCAGGCTCCCAACAGCTTCAGACTTTCGCCGACGAGGCTGGTGGCAACCGTGCTTTCGGTAGCACTGGTCACAACGCTACCACTGAATGGCTGTACCAAACGCTCAAGGCGACTGGATACTACGATGTGTACAAGCAACCCTTCGTCGAGCTCTTCACCGCAGCGACCACCAAGCTCACTGTTGCTGGCGAAGAGATCGAGGCCGCTTACATGACCTTTGGTCCCTCTGGAGATGTTACCGCCAACGTTGTCAAGGTTAACAACCTCGGATGCGCTGTTGACGACTTCCCAGCCGGAGTTTCTGGCCAGATCGCGCTTATCTCTCGAGGCACATGTCCATTCGCTGACAAGGCCGCCAACGCTCAAACCGCCGGTGCGGTCGGCGCTATAATCTACAACACCGAGCCCAACACACCCCTTTCTGGTACCCTCGGTGGTGATGGCGACTACGCTCCCGTTGTTGGCATTACCAAGGAAGCCGGTGAGGGTATTGTAGCCAAGCTCGGCACCGGCACAGTTGAGGGAACTCTCTTCATTGATGCCATTCGCGAGAACCGCACCAACTACAACGTCATTGCCGAGACCAAGCAAGGTGACCACGACAACGTGCTCATGCTCGGTGGTCACACCGACTCCGTCTTTGCCGGCCCCGGCATCAACGACGACGGATCTGGTACCATTGGTACGCTCATGACCGGTCTTGCCCTTACCAAGTACAAGATCAAGAACGCCGTCCGTCTTGGATTCTGGGGTGCGGAGGAGTTTGGCAAGCTGGGCTCCTTCTATTACATGAAGACCATCAACGGTACCTTCGGTGGTAACGCAACTGAGGCCAACAAGATCCGCGCCTACCTCAACTTCGATATGATCGCATCGCCCAACTACGTCCTCGGTATCTACGACGGTGACGGCAGTGCGTTTAACTTCTCCGGCGCCGCTGGGTCTGACACTATCGAGAAGGACTTTGAGGAGTTCTACGAGGAGCGTGGCCTTGCCCACGTACCTTCTCTCTTCACTCTCCGCTCTGATTACGCTGCTTTCCTCGAGAACGGTATTCCTTCAGGTGGTCTGTTTACCGGTGCTGAGGTGCTGAAGACTGAGGAGGAGGCACAACTTTTCGGTGGTGAGGCTGGTGCTCCGCTCGACGCCTGCTACCACCAGGCTTGCGATGACATCGACAACCTGGCCCTCGACGCTTACCTCCTCAACACCCAGAGCATTGCCAACTCGGTTGCCAAGTACGCCCTAAGCTTCGAAGGTATTCCAAGGGCCAACATGACGCTCCGCAAGCGTGGCGCCGAGAGGAGCAGACTCATGTCGAGATTCGATGATGGTGGACATGCTCACCATGGCCAGACATGCGGTGCTGGAAAGCACACTATCTAAATGTTGTATTAGTGTAGATTTGGGTGGATGGTTGATGTTGTTGATGATACCAATGATGCGATGATGCTGTAGAAGTAGAAAAGCCAATGTAACAAAACATTTCAAACATTACCGTGTGCTGTTGCTTTCCGATGTGAATGCTTGCACTGCACAGTCTCACGACCGATCGACACCGTTAAGCGCTCTTAGTACCTCAAGTGTCGGCTTCGATAGTCAGGAGCTCTTTATTCAGCCTTCAGCTCGAGATCGAAGGTGTCACACCGTTTGACTCAGCATACCACGTACCCTTCTCCTGTACTTAGTTGGAAGCAGAAATCACCATCCAATCTCCACCTCTTCCTCTCCATAAACCTAGCACTGTCCTTAAACGCATATTCCTTCTGAACCAGTCCTCCACCCTGACACCTACGAACACAACACATCCGCAGTTCGAACAAGCATACCAAGCATCTCGCGTATGCATCAAAGTCTCGCCAGAACAGAAGCAGAATAGAACGTAGGGCTTCGCGGGGCGGAGACACGAGGTAGAGCGGAAAGCGCACACCTTGATGGCGACGGAGTGGACGCTATGCCATTTTGCTGTTCCCAAGGCGCGGAATATCTTGAGTACCGGAGACTGGATGTACAGTACGCCATCTTGAGATGATTTGGAATGAACAGGGCGGTGTGGGCTCAGGATCGTGATGTAGATGTTGGGCTGCGCGGTGGGAGGAGTAGTTCACGTGCGTGTTGTCTACTGTGTGCCTACTTGGGCAGCTGTTCGGGCAGTGAAGAACCCGCAGCTTGGCTTCTGGGCGTCGCTAAATATGTTGATCGTGAACTCGGCGATGCAGTCGAACTCTCGTTGGCGTGTCATGCAGACTAGACTACCGTGGCTTGCGCTCATGATTACTCTTTGGCTCGGGCATCACAGGAATACGACAAGGCGTGTACGTCACTACCACTGAAGTTAGGTACCTGCATTTGGCTGACCGGATTGTGTGGCTTTCAAAACAGAGTTAGTGGCGTATATAGTGTTGAGCCAGTAATGGGCGTACAGTAGGGCTATTGTCTAGATAGAGTCGTGGCGGGGCGCGTTCCGTCTGGAGGATGAACGAACATTGGAGGGTTTGCTGCTGCGTCAAATCGCAAGCTGGTGTCGCCACAGTTCCAATTGTTCCAAAAATCCGTAGCCTATGACGATGCGACATTAATCAGTAATTGTTTGAGTTGTGCAACCCGGTCGGGGCTGTTGATCTCGAAACGCTGGGTCGCAATGATCGCCTGGACCCGCATACTAACGCATGTCGCAAATCCCCCCGACCTCTTCGACGATCAGCGACAAGGCCTTCGATATGTACCATCCTGTTCCCGTCTCATTAAAAACAGGATATCGACTCCGCACATCGTGTTGCTCGGGACGGTGCACATCTGAATTTTCGCTCGGAGGCACTTCCCCGGCCTTGCTCAAGTGGCAATCTCGTCTAGCCCACTCGGTGCACGTTTCATCCGCAGCCATGTTCCTTGCGGCCGCAGCCTACCAATCCTCCGACGTTCATCCAAAGTCGGCGACCCTGCTAGGGGGCGCCCAGGCGCCGTTGCTGAAGCTGACCGCGTCGAGGTCGAATGGGCCTGAATTAATATCCAAGTAGCCCAGGACAAGGCACGATACACGTGTGCACGGCACGCAAGACCATGGCAGGCGGCGCGTCCGCACCGACACTAGTTTGGCGAACCGCCGTGTGTTAAACCGAACTTATGGAAAATGAGGAGACGATGAAATCCGGATCGTTGGGCCTGCATTAATCATGACAGGTGCAGCTTCAGCGATGCAACGTAGGCCCACACCTGTATAGGAAGGCAGTACTCGAGGCTTCAATCGCATCACCTAGTGAAGCAGAAAGTGCGCTGGCCGTAGCAGCTGGCAGTATAAGGGTTAAACACCACGTACCCCTAGCAATAGTTCTCATGCGATGCAGTCTATTGCAAGTTTGCCTGAGTCCATCCAAAAGCGTCGCCGGAGAGCAAATCACATCACGCGGAAGAGTCGCCATACCTACCGGTAAGCCAGCAGCTGCTAGCACCTCAACACCTGGGCATCGTCGTGAGCGCGGTAAATCCCTTCGACGCCACTAGGAAACTTGACAGGCATCAGACCTGGACAGCTTGGAAACAGCACCAACTTTGCCGCCGCGCGTGTCAGAACAGCTCTCTGGATCTTGCGCTCTTCACCGCCATACTTCACGTTGCCAGATATGGACTACCAGTCCATGAATAACATATCACAGATAAGGTACTGCTCCCCGTGGTTCTCCAGTTGTTCAAATGCATGTGTGCATCGCCTGGAGGATGCGCAATAATCGTGCATCACCCCGCAAAAGGGATGCCCTTCCCTGTCAAGCGAGCATTAGCGTTCCAGCAGGATAGATCCCGTTCCGTATGCAGGTCGGACCATTAAGATCCAGCAGCACTGCTGTTACAGGATTAGTGGCACGATTCACGAAAGGATCGCTCGTTTGCCTTCCGGATATCCACCCAAGCTTGACGTCCAACGAATGGGATCTGTCCTTCTCGAACACAGGGCTAATACGCCACTCTCTGTCGAACTCTATTTTGACTCGAGGGTCTGTCAAGTGTTCGCTTCATCTCCTGAAAACCCCCCTAGCTGCCGTTATGGATCAGTCGGTCTGGACAAAGAATGTGAAGGGTCTTCGCTTGTGTCATAACGGCTCACTCTCGACCGGTCGCACATAGTATACAACACCACGGTCGCTAAGTTTACGACGTTTGTTATCAGGCCACCATCGTTCCACACATCTTTTCCACGCTGGCTCAGCATGAGTAACGAATACCATGATGATCCTTCGTTCCAACCATGGGGCCCATTCATCTCAGATAATTACAAGAATGAGCCCATCACGAAAGCAGACATCATCATAGCCTCCGTTGTGTGGGGACTGACATTACTCAATGTCATACTTGCCCTGTGGCTCATTGTCAAGCAAACAAGAGGATCGCGGTCACCGCTCAGGAGCGTCTACGTCTGGATGATATGGCTGGAACTTATTGTCTCGTTTACCATGGGCCTTGAGAGCTTTTTACACTTGCTCAAGTACATCAAACCAAGTAGGTAGTGACGACGTAGAGCTTTTGAGATCATACTAACCACCACAGGCTTCGCTTTTTACTTCACCATCTTGTTCTGGTGGTGTATCCAGGTTCAGCTGCTTTTGCAGATCATCATTAACCGTATCCGTGTCATCGTGCCTGATCGACGGCGTTCGAGATGGATCATGATTAGTACTGCGGTGTTCGTCACTGTTATCAACATCAGTGTCTTCAATGTCTGGATACCAGCGCGGTTACAGATTAACTCGAAGTAAGTTACTTTCCTGGTAGCATACACCGGTCGTTGTCGCAATGGGCTGGGTTCGCCTGGCTGGTTCGTGGTGGAACGACATTTGCGAGACGCTATGCCCACTCGTACCAAGTATTAGACTGACGATCTGACAGATACCACCTCATCAACGAGTACTGGGACCGGATTGAAAAGGGTCTCTACCTCCTCGCCGACGCGGCGTTGAACTGGTATTTCCTAAAGACTGTGAAGGAGAACTTGATCAACAACGGTCTCACAAAGTACAACAAGCTCGTTCGTTTCAACCAGCAAATCGTCATGGTATCACTTCTTATGGACGTCATGATCATCGCCGCTATGTCGATACCGAATTCCTTTGTGTAAGTGTTACTCGTCAACAGAAGCCAACCCTTGACCTTTACTAACCCACCCTCTTCCAGATACATACAATTCCATCCTCTCGCCTACCTAGTAAAACTCAACATCGAAATGACAATGGCCAACCTCATCAAACGCATCGCAATCTCGACATCACGCAAGACAGGCATGGCATCCATTGCACACGAGTTCAAGTCCTCGTCCAACCAATCCACCACCGGCCACCGCACCGTCGGCACAAACCCGCACAAATCACGGGGTTCGATCCACGAGCTCGCCAGCTTTGCTTCCTACACTGTCGATACAAAAGCAAATGCCGAGCAAGACGGGCAGCGTGTCATTAGCTTCGCCCCGACAGGGAACCAAATCAAGGAGACGAGGGAGGTCATCGTGCATACCGAGCCGAACCCATTTTACGAGCGGAGAGGTTCGGAAGTGGAGATTACAGCAGGACATGGAAGGAGACAGTCTCACGGTGTTGTCATTGAAGAGAGGGGACTAGGCAGGCAAAAGAGTCTAGAGAGTATAACGGAGGGCAATGAGAGTATGAGGAGTGGGTCGGTACCCAAGCGAATGATAGAGGATAGCGATGATGAGGCAGCGCTTGTGCAGCAAAAGACTTGGGGATGGCCGAGGCGGCCGAGTTGAACGCGCGAGCGCTGTTGAAATGTCAAACTGCTTTGTGTTTATTTAGCGTGGGTTTGGTAAAATAGACATTGTTTCCGCACTTTAGATGTGCGATGGAACGATAATTATAGACATTTTAGAGTTGAATATACCAAATCAACCGTTAGTCCGAAGAAGGAGCGAGACACGTAAGAGTATACAGCTGTGGTACCGTACCCAAGTACAACTCAACATGACGTGGCGCTGAAATGCATGACTTTCATCTCTGTCGGACTGCGCAATCGGGATGATGGAAGAGGCTGTAGGCATCTATTGTGTCAGTTCAGTCTCATGAGTTGAGCGAAAGCAGATGCGGATGCCGTGGACTTGGCTAGATCTGTAGGTAAGCTCGCGATACACGTGACAGCACCACGTGTCGCGGCCTGGACTGGACGATGCTCGAGCAGAAATGTTTCTCGAGCGGAGACTATCCGCACATCGGAGTTCGCTGCGATGGAAAGTTGCGGGTAGAAGGGGGATTCTCACGTTGGTTCCCCGGAGCGACGCCACGATCTTCCCCGCACTTCCTAGCGAGGAAGGTTTGCCGACCAGGTACACCACGGTGGCTTGGCATGCTACACGCGTATACGGATTACACCAAGATGGTAATCCGTTCACT